ATAGTTTCCTTCACAACATTTGATCTAGAGGTCGTATTACATTCAATTTTCAAATCAATTTTAGAATTCCAAATCAAGGATAAAAAAACCCCAATTTGAGCCCTAATTAGGGATTCCAGTCAGTTCTTCAGGATTTGCAAAATTGAGACATGGATGAACCTAATTTCTTATATGAAACTCAAATCCAAAATCAATTTCGGAAAATTCACATGAATTTGAGCCAATTTTGACCAATCTAGTGATCCAATGATTGAGAAATCAAAAAGTAATTGGCTCAATTAGTGCAATTCAATTTCGCCCATTCTAGACTAACATCCAATTTGACGAATTAAGTTCATTAGTCTAGCTTAGCAATGCAATTTAACTCAAATTGAAGTGCAATTGGGCCAAACAAGTCAAATTTGATCAATTTGTACTTGTATTTCAAATTGGTTCAATCCAATTTAATTAAATTCAACTCAATTGGGCCAATCAATCCTGATAGGGATGAGATTACATAAAATTGGAACAAAATTGAGCCAAAAACCGAACCGGTTCAACTTGGTTGAACTCGGGTCAAACTGGTCCAACCGGTTCAACCCGGTTTGACTGGAATTGAACTGGCCCAATCAGGCTGGCTGTTTCCCTGCCAAAATTCCGGCGACCGGCAATCCATTCCGACCAGCCAAGGCCAGCCAGTCCCCCTATGTCCAAAATTACTAAAATATCCCTAGTGAAATTACAAAAATGCCCCTATAATCAAATTTTAGCCAATTTCCTTAAGGGTTAAGCAAATTTCCTTAGGGATTAAGCAAACAATCATGGCCATTCATTAAGAGTGCATCATAGCCATCCATTGTGCCATGTCATCTATCCTTAGCCCTTAAACAATATCCTTAACTCTTAAGGAAGCAATTTGAGCCATTTGATCAATCCAAGGGCTAGCATTCAAACTTGGGAGAGGTATATAAGGATTTTCCCTCCAAAAATCAAAAGGGGGCTCATTTTCAAACTCACTCTCTCTCTCTCTCTCTCTCTCTCTCTCTCTCTCTCTCTCTCTCTCTCTCTCTCTCTCTCTCTCTCTCTCTCTCTCTCTCAGCCAGACATTGTCACGCCCGGTCCGACCGATTCCCAGCGTGCCGCCGCCTCACTAGCATCCCAAGGCCAGTTGCAAGGTCAACCACCACCGCCAGTGGCCAGAGCTCCCCGAACCGGTGCCGTTTGTTTCTCGGTCACATCACCAGCAACTAAGCCGGCGATCTCTTCCTGCCGATTTAACCGGCGATTTCGGCAGTCCAGCGACCCTCCACGACGGTCCGAGACCTACAACTAGCTTCCTCAACTCCATCCCGAGGCTATAGTGGCTTGCCTTTGCCGAAAAAGCCACCGGAACACTTCCTTTCACTTAGGCTCCGTTCGTTTAGCGGAAAATATTCTCTTTTGGAAAATATTTTCCCGGAAGTCATTTTCCTGGAAAATTTTTTCCCGGAACATAATTTTCCGATGTTCGGTGATCAATATGAAAAAGTTTCGGAAAATATTTTTCGCCGGCGGCGAGCGGCGGGGCAGGCCGGCGGCGACCGGCGGCGGCGACCGGCGGCGGCCGGCGACCTCAGTGAAGAAGAAGAAGAAGAAGAAGCTCCGGAAAATGATTTCCGCTTTTGAAGAAGCGGAAGTCATTTTCCATAGACTTAGGCTATTTTGTGAGGGGGGAAGGAAAATATTTTCCCACAGAAAACGTTTTCCGCCCCCCGAACATCGGAAAATCCGGAAAATATTTTCCGGGAGAATATTTTCCGCCAAACGAACGGAGCCTTAATTTCTTGTTGATTGCTCATTTGAGTAAACCAATTCGATTCTCACTTTGATTTGCACACTTTGTTCTCAGAGGTTCGTCGAGCTTTCTGAGGCTACTCCATGGTGTCCTTGAGCTAAATACGGATGCCGGATCACTCGGTTGTACGTCAAAGTGTCATTACACAAGGTAAGATCGATTTCGTGATTCTTGGATCCTGATGAGTCAGTATGCTTGTGATGCTGGTATGACCTTGGAAATGTCGAAATCTCGAAAGCGTTAAACTAGAGAGTCGTAGAATACGTCTTAAGCTTCAATTTGATAGGTTATACGCCTAGAACGGATATCGTTTGCTAGGTTAAAACTCCTTCGAAAGTTGAGATCAGAAGCTGTAATGTTGATAATATGTTCTGTTTTTATGAACTGCTGATTGACCTTACTCTGTTTGGTGATTTTTCTGATTTTCTACGTTCGTTATTTGAGAAAACTTTCCTCATGAAATTCGTAAAACACATTCAGATCTGTCTACCATAAAAATTTCATAAAATTCCATGCATGTTAGGACAGGACGATTAGCGTCATGATTTAGGTTTCTTCTCTGTAATAGATGGGTTCCTAAAGAACCTTCATGTGTTCTTCAATTTTTTGTAAATTCATGTGTTCAAAATCTAGAAAAGTGTTCTTCACAAAATTTCACACTGAGATCCAGAGATCTCTTATGGTACCAATTTTTATCAAAATCGGAGTTCATTTGAATGTTCAAAGGAATTTTTTATGATTTAATCAGATTCTGTGTCCAGATCTAAAATTCCTTTCTTTGAACTTCAAAACATGTTTCTCCGAATTTGATAAGTTTAGTGTCCTTTTTTGCAAAAACTCAAAACTACAAAATTGTTCATTAGGGTCTTATTATGTAGACTGGAAATTTTGGATAAGGTCCTCTCGGCCTAAAAAACAGTTTGCAGATGAGTCCTCGGTAAAAATCGAATTTTATAAAAAAAATTAGGGGGCTTTTTAGCAAACACTAAACATATGAAAGTTGTTAAAAACAGGGAATCCTAACTGCCTAAAAATTTTCACGCGGTTTGGATAGCGTTTGTTATTTTCCCTGCCTTTATTTTAAAATCCCTAACAAAACCGGGTTCAGTCTGTCATTCCGAATTAAATGTTGATTTTCGAAAAAATCGGGCAAGAATTGTGAAAAATGGTCTTATTAACAAGGCCCACTTCCCATTGCTTGATTGATTGAAAAACAAGGCCCATGGGCCTAAATGCATGCTTTACCCATTGTTGTGCATGTGATTGTTAGATGTATGTCTAGACTCGATGCATGTTCGACGGGTAGCCTACGGTGATCACTTAGAACCCCGACTTTAGGGTTAACCGATATGAGTCATCATTTTGCCAATGCAAATGGTGGCTCATTATCGTTAACCATTAATCAATCAATGTTAGATGATTAAGTGGGTGGGACAATCGGAATGTGTGGAAGACAAAGACCGATCCCGAGGCCCGTTTTGGATTGATGATTTGCTTGCACTTGCTTTGTCTTACGTGTTTGTTTGCATGTTGTACATGAAATGAATGATTCGAATATAAAACCGACACCTTCGAGGTAGTCCATGGAGGAGATGGCCAAACAACTTCGAAGAGGGTGGTCAAAGACCAATGTCCAATTCGGTCTCTTTTTGTATATCATTTGATACCCAACCATGTCTCGGGTTTTATATCCGTGTTGTAATAAATACGCGACGAGTTACGGGTTTTCCTTTCTCACACTTAGATTAGCTCGCCTTTTAAATACATTGGGTGTTTACTTTATGTACCATCTTTTTAAATCAATTGTTTGTTTCTTTTCTTTTCTAGACTAAGATAGGACTAGTTTAGAACCTAATGAAAAATACAAAAAAACAAAATGCATGATCACCTAGTGGACTAAGACTTTGGCATTGAAAATGGTAAAAAAAAAAAAATGCATGACAACTTAGATAACAACCATGATAAGTTTAACGGTATCGAAAGGGCGTTAGTAGAAACATTAATGTAAGCTAGTCCCCAAACCCATGATCTCTGGTTTTCATAGAAACCGAAACGAAACTCCCGCGTTTCGGTTGGGTATTCTAGCTGACCCCCGACCTAAGCTAGTGGTGACTCCTAAAAAAGATAAAATCAATCCCTTGTCACGCGAGGTATGAATTTAAGGAAAATCCACGTTCATGATCAATGGACCGTATAAATGATTAAAAGATTGACGCTTCGATAAGCTGTCTTTTATGATGTACCATACGAGCCATTTCATAAACACTTACCTCTAGAATCGCTTCATCGAGTTCGGCCCTTCAGAGGTAGGTCGCGACATATGCATACGAATAAGTAGTCATAATGACCGCTTTGATATGGAATTAGGCCATTACGATGATGGCTGTGATGAAAATAGAGAGAATACATGTTGTTATTCTTGATATATAAACTGTGCAATTTAGAGGGAATATGGTGTATATATTGAAGTGTACCATTAGAGCAGCCATTACCAACTGACGGGTCATATACCAAAAGGATTGAGATTGAGTGTAAGATAGACTAGGACAATGCTGTTGGAAGTCAAAAGTAGAAAAAGAGTGGTTATCAATCCATTCAGGATAAAGATTGCTACATACGGGTCAGATAACACCCATATCCCAACATAAAGTGTCACTGAACTTCATCGGTGTACTACTCCAGGGTCAATTGTGGACTCGACCGACCATCTCGCCGCCTAGAAGGTAATGCTAGTCTTACCTAATTATCTAAATTAGCATTGATCGACGTATTAGAAGTATAGGGAATATTTGCTCCAACTGGTGGTACAACTGCACCAATAGGCCTTATTCTCAAGATTTGGCAATGGTCCATTTTGCTGACCATTCTGCTTTGCTAAGTTGTTTATTTCATTTCGATTATTTTGACGATTATTTTGATTATTTCCGGAAGAAGAACACTAGAAGTGCCAAAAGTTATATACGGCGCTCACTTTAGTACCAAAAGTTCTCACCGGCTCACTTAAGTGTCAAATCGGAGAAAAAACGATCACTTAAGTGCCAACAGCGAGAAATTCCGGCCAAAATAATTACGTGGCTTTTATAATAAAAAAAATAAGTGGGAGTTGGCATATTTGTTAAAAAAATCCAATCCACGTGGATTTTAACCCTCTCTCTATAGAGTCTCGCTCTCTCTCTCTTGCTTTGTGTGTGCTTTTCGGCTCCATTTTTGGCTTCCTCAAGATCATCACTGACCCCTCTCTCTCTCGATCCCTCATTCTGGGTTTGATTCGCTTTTAACTCCTTCTTCCTACTTCTGCTAAGTAGATTCAACAGTGCGATTGCTTCTTCGCCCCTAATCCCGATGCTTGGGGGTCGTCTCTCGGCAGTCGCTAAGGTTTGTCGTACTTTGCCAGATTCGAAGAGCTGCTAGATCTTACGGAGAGTTGACGCAAATGCCAGATCTGGGTGAAAAGGTTAGTGGTCGCACTGATCGAGAATTCGTGCAAGACCATCTCGTCGAGATCTCGAAATTCTTGCGTTGGTTAAGCGGCTAAAATCACTCAATTTGGTTCACTATTGTTGCAGGGATCGACGGATTGTTCCGATGGAGCTTCGATGGAGGGGAAGAAGATATGCGCCGATTAGCTCCTGCCCTTTTCGTTTCTCGTTTAGGGTTTTTTTGAATTTTATTGCTTTGCGGTGAAGTAATGGTCTTCGGGGATCTGTGGGTTTTGGTGCAGAGGTGGAAGAACCATCATCATCCGTCTTCGAAGACAATCATGGATTGATGGTATTCAGTGTCGAGGTGGAAGAGCCATCGTCCGTCGTTGAAGACGATCACGATCTCCGCGATGATCACGCCGTTCCTCAATTCTCGGCGATTACTAAATTCAACTCTCCTCTGGGTATTGTCTTATCAGTTTCTCCGTACATTGTGTTTTTTTCCTACTAATTTGTCTGCAATTCTGAGATTGCTCCAATGCGTGTTTCTAACTTCATCTCTTTCATAAACCAGTGTCTCTTATTGCTTTTGAAGAAGAAAATTTATGCCTTTGAAATTTTTTTGAATTATATTGGAATTTTATTTCACAATTAAGGAAGCTTTATAAGCAATTTCTTTTTTGAGCTCTTTAACCTTTCTGTTGATATGGAGTTTCATTGGCCTATGACGGGCTTTTGATCCACCATGTTATTGTTAGTTCTATACTTGTAACTGAGGCCTCTGTTAGTTTTGGCCTAAAAGGGGGTGAAAAGGCCCTCTGGAGTTGTCTTTGGTAATGATTCCATCCAGAAGTGGAGATAATACTTTGTTTAATCCCTTTTAATATTGTACATTTGGGATTTTGCGGGAGATTTGCAGAAGAAAAGATCATGAGGAAGGTCAACATGGAGGGAAAATGCATTAAAAAAGTTTCATCTCAAGACTTGAATGATTCTGACACTAGTGAAGCTCCCCTTGAGGTTGAGTTTGTCAATGTGATGGAGAATTGTAAGCAAGCAAAGATTACTTCACCACTCGATAGTTGTTTTGATTTTGACGCAGCTTATGATCGATTTGTGCTTTGGTCCTATAGTCTCTGTGCAATGCGTGCGGGATCAGGAGCAGGAAGAAGAGGTGGGCCGTGATTGGCCTGAACAAGATCAAAGTGGAGATTACGAAGGCGAAGCACAGCAACAACAGAAACGGCGGTTCCTTGAAGCGGAGGGTCTTGGCCTGAGAAAGAGAAGTGTTGATGTAGAGACTAATGGGGTTGATATTGTTAGGTGTTGAGTTGAATGTTTTTGTTTGGTGGGAAGCCAACCCCTGGATGTTGGGATGTTCTAGTTGGTTATTCAAATTGACCAAATGTAAACCAAATGTAAAGATTGAATTTAATGTCAATGGACTTTATTTTGTCTATGCTTTTGTCATTTCTATATATTGCTTTTGGTTGCGCTGGTGTGCTAGTTTTATTGGTTGCGCTTGCACCAACTATTGTATGTGCTGGTGCAAGCACAAGATGCACCCGCTATGTGTTGTTGATGCAAAGTTAGTGCTGGTACATCTTGTGGTTACACTAGCTATGTGCTGGGGGTATCAAAAATCAATATTTATAACAACAATGTCGTCACCAATCATCAACTAATAACTTAGATTTTGAGTGATTTATGAATAGGTTTCGTGGACATAAATTGGTCTCGCATTTATCCAAAACAAGGCAGAAAAGAGAGGAATGAAATTACCTTATCGATGAGGGGTTCTCAGTTGTGCTTATTGGTCAAGCTACATGAGGTGGTATAGCTAGTTGCTACTGGCTTGTGCTTGCATCATCATGTGTTTGTGTAGCTGATGCAAAGCACAAAACTGCACCAGCGCTTGTTTGGGCTGGTGCTTGGCACTGAAATGATCACTTTTTAACAACGATTGGCACTGAAGTGACCACTTTTTAACAACGACTGGCACTGAAATTATCACTTTTAAAAAAATTTGGCACTCAAACGATCACTATTTACAACTTTTAAATGACATTGTTCAGGGGCTATATGCTGATTGGACACGCCGGAAAGCCATATAGGACTGAGAAATTAATAAAATATAGCCACGTCGGATTTCCGACGACCATATCGGAGTTGGCATTTAAGTGATCCGAAAAAAAACTTTTGGCACTAAAGTGAGTACCGTACATAACTTTTGGCACTTTTACCGTCCTTCTTCCGATTATTTCCTTTAACAAGACCAACCAAGATGTGATTATTGGTATTGTTTTGACCTTGGTTCAAAGTTTTTGGCTTTTGTAATATTATACGGGAGGTGGAAATATATTGCCCAAGTTATTGGCATTATTGAACTAACTAGATGCAAAAGGAACATACCCTTGAACTGCTGGATTTTCTTGAAGCGGGTACAATTGGTTAGACGATCCTAATTTAGATACGATGTCATTGTGATATGTGTGTGGGCGAGTGATTCCAGAAATGGGGAATTTTCTAGGATTGTGTATGGATGGGTGTGTGTGGAATGGATGTCGATGGATAATATACGAACGTATGATAGATTACGATAGCCACCAAAGTATAAAGGATGCACCACCAACCGAGGATGAAGAACAAGATCGACGAAGTTCACCACCAAACAAGGAGAAAGGTCTCCCGCATTGAAATTTGTCGAAATGCCAAACTCTCTAGGAAGATCAATCTTGTATGCAGTGTTGCCGATTCTCTCAAGAACTTTAAAAGGACCATTAGCTCTAGGCATTAAGTTTGTTCTTTTGATGAGATGGAAATCTTTCTTTCCTCAAATGCAACCACACAAAATCACCTTGTTGAAAATGAGTCTTTTTCTGATGTTAATTAGCTTTCTTCTTATATGACTCATTAGTCTTCTCGATCTTAGATCGAATATGCTCATAGAGCTTCTTCATCGATTCAACTGTTTCTTTGCCTTCAAAGTTCACTTGCGAGTTGGATGGAATTGGAATCAAATCAATCAGTGTGGGAGGATTAATTCCATACACAACTTCAAAAGGTGATTGACCAGTGGTATAACTCGGTGATCGATTGTCAGCAAATTCAGTATGCCCAAGCTTCAAATTCGAATCTTTCAAAAATTTACTAACCGTACCTCAAAGGAGAGTAGCAAGGGTGCGATTGGTTACCTCCGTTTGGCCATCAGTTTGAGGATGACAAGCAGTGCTGAATAAGAGTCATGTACCAAGAATTCTCCATAAAGTTTTCCAAAATTAGCTCAAAAACTTAAAATCGCAATCTGACATGATGGTCTTGGGTACTCTATGAAGGCGAATGATCTCTTGAAAATATAGCTCAAAACATGAGATGCATCATCTGTCTTGTGATATGGAATGAAATTAGCCATTTTTAAAAACTGATCAATGACCACCATGATGGCATTTTTTCCCCTTTAAGTTCTCGGAAGAAATACAAGAAAGTCCATGCTCACATCTTCCCATGGCTGCAATGGAACCGAAAGGGGGGTGCACAGCCCTTGATGAAAATGACTTTTGGCTCTTTGATAAGATGCACACCTCGAGATGATAGCATGCACGTCTCCATTCATCTTTAGCCGATAAAAATGCTCTTGAAAAATCTCAAGAGTTTTGTTAACACTGAAGTGACTAGCCAATCCTCCACCATGTGCCTCACGAATCAATAACTCCATAAAGAAACTCTTTGGCATACATAATCGATTTCCTTTAAAAGGAAATCCATCCTGGATAGAATTAGTGCCCTAAACTCCATGTTTACAGTCGTCGATGATGGAAGAGAAATCTGGGTCTGTAGAATATAGATCCTTCATTGATTGAAAACCAAGGATCCTAGAATCCAAAAAGCAAGCATCGAATATCTCTTTGATAAAGCATCCGCTACAACATTAGTGTGGCTAGGTTTATATTTTGAGATAAAAGAGAAGATTGAAGAAATTCTACCCACTTGGCATGTCTCGAATTGAGTTTGCATTGGCCGCTAATAAACTTGAGAGCCTCATGATCAAAATGAAGGACAAATTGTTTTGGCCACAAGTAATGACTATAATGATCAAGAGCTCTAACAATGGCGTAGAACTCCTTATCATAAGTTGAATAATTCTTCTTCAAATTCGTCAACTTCTCATTGAAATACGCTAAAGACTTTTGTGCTTGGACAAGAACAGCCCCATTGCCAACTCGGCTTGCATCACACTCAACTGCAAATACTTTATCTAAATCAGGAAGTGCAAGAACATAGGGCTCACAAAGTTTCTGTTTGATTATTTCAAAAGTATTGTGAGCAGCTTTTGTCCATTCGAAAGATCCCTTCTTCATGCATTCGGTGATAGGAGCCACAATGGTACCGAAATTCTTCACAAATCGCCAATAGAATGAAACAAGTCCATGAAAACTTCTCACATCAGAGATGGACTTTGGAACCAGCCATGTTTTCATCGCTTCCACCTTGGATTGATCGACGTAGATCCCATCTTTTGAAACAACATACCCAAGGAACATGATGCTTTAAGAGAAGAATTGGCATTTCTCCATTTTAGCGTAGAGTTTCTGCCCTCTCAAGACTTCAAAGACCTGCTTCAAATGATAGATATGCTCTTTCTCGTTCCTGCTGTAAACAAGAAAATCATCAAAATATACAATAACAAATCAACCAATAAAGGAACGGAGAACTTCGTTCATGAGTCTCATGAAGGTATTCGAAATATTAGATAACCCGAATGGCACAACTAGCCACTCATAGAGGCCTCCTTTAGTTTTCAAAGCCATTTTCCACTCATCGTCTTCTCGCATCCGAATTTGATGATAACCATTCCGCAAGTCTATCTTGGAAAGCACAGTGAAACCATATGATTCATCAAGCATATCATCAACTCTAGGTATCGGGTACCTATACTTAATGGTGATGTTGTTGATGGCTCATCTATCGACACACATTTTGAACGAACCATCTTTCTTGGGCACAAGTAGTGCTGGAACGGAACATAGGCTCATGCTTTTTCAAACATATCCTCTATAAATAAGTTCATTGACTTGTCTTTGCAACTCCTTCGTCTCTTCCGGGTTGCATTGATAAGCTGCTTTATTTGGTAAAGGAGAACTAGGAAGCAAATCGATGTAATGTTCAATGCCTCTTATGGGAGGTAATCCAGGTGGCAATTCCTCCGGAAACACATCTGCAAATTTTTGCAACAAGGAATGCAATTTTGCATGTTGGGGTCTCTTTATCTCACTCTTTTTCTCAACCATAAGCAAAGCAAATACACTCTTTTGTTTGCTAATGACTCTCCAACCTATGTTTCACGCAAGAATAGGTTTTCCTTTTTAGTGTTTCCCACCCCAGCGTGACTTTTGTGGTTCATGACTCGATTCAAGGGTCTAAGAGTAATGCATTTTTATTCCTTGTTAAATGAATATGTGTTTTTATGCTCATCATGAACAACCTTCCTATCATATTACCAAGGTCTACCCAATAACAAGTGGCATGCATCCATGGGAATTACATCACACAGAATCTGATCTTCATAATTCTTCCCAATTGAAAACAAAATCAAGGCTTGCTTAGTTACCTTAAGATTGCTTCATTTACTGAGCCATTGAAGTTTGTAAGGTTCAAGATGCTTAATCGTTGGAAGTTTCAGTTTGTCGATCAAGGTTGTCAATGCGACATTGGTGCAACTCCCATCATCGATAATCACCATACACACCTTTCCGTTAATAGTGCAACAGGTGTGAAAGATGTTTTCCTTTTGCTCATCCGCTTCAGGAGAATTTACAGCGTGTAATGCTCTTCGGATCACAAACAACTCGCCATCATTAGCCTTTTCTACAAACTCCTTTTGTTCTTTAGATTCGGAGTCATTTTGATCAGAATCTTTCTTATCCTCTTGAAGTGCCAAATTGATCTTCTCAATGTCTTGAAGAGCCATAACTCTCCAATTATGACAATTAATTTGCAAATGCCCATGGCCATGGCACTTAAAGCATTTCCTTGCTTCACCATCAAGTTTCTTATAGAATTCTTTGGTAGGCTCCATAGCCTTCTCATTGCCTTTGTCTTTTGTCAACAACTCTCGGCCTAACTTGAGGAATCACCCTTAAAGTAAGATGTTCCCTTTGTTGAGGTTTTGGTAGAAAACCTCTTATTGCTCTTTATTTGCTTTTCGACCCTCATCGACAACTTACATACGTCTTCGAAGGACCAATAAGGTTGAAGTTCAACCAAATCAGCAATTTCCCGATTCATTCCGCCAAGGAATCAAGCGATGGTTTGCTCCGAAACTTCTGGAACTTCGCACCTCATCTTGAGTTGTTGAAACTCTTTGAAGTATTCTTCAACACTCATCCCTTATTGTTTTAGGGAATTCAGCTTGAGGAACAAGTCTTACTTATAATTGTCAGGCAAGAACCTCTTCTTCAT